AAAATGTACTTTTGTATGTTTGAAACAAAAAAAAAAGTCAAATTTTAGGTGTTGTAGAGGTCAGAGGGAACGACTCTGCATCACGTAGACCCAACGCTCAATATAGTCGATAAAAGAAACGCTTCATTGTATCGGAAACATTGAAAGACCACCATAGACAAAACGTTTGACACATCCACAATTGTGCGCCCTGCTGACACCTCACTGTGGCGACAGTCTCACCTCAAACCGTTCCATTCACTGACTGACAGGCCGGTGTTTAACCAGCGGATGTTTTTTGAGGCCAGCGTTTGTTTGAAGAAAGAAAAAGCCTCAACCAGGCAGGAGAACGCCACATCTCCTTTTAGCATCTATTTAGTTGTCGTAGAAATAAAACTTTTCGACTGATCGGCCTGCAAAGAAAAGGCTTTTATTTTGTTAAAACTTTTTGACAAATAGAACAACATCGAATAATATTAAGATTATTCAAATAACATCATAAAATACAGGCAAATCTTTATCAGAACAGTAGAGGTTCATCTTCCCTAATATGGAAGTGAAACACATGAACTCTTTTTTGTTGCACACACACACACTCACAGACAAACTCCAACAGGAAGAGTGTGGGTGTTTGGGAGCAGCTGCATGGAGAGGCATCAGACCCAGCTTCCTCCTGGTGCAGCGAGCACCTTCTCTCCTCCCTTTCTCTCTCTCTCTCCCTTCATCTTCTCATTTCCTTCACATTTTAATTACCCCCCTCTCAATGCTCTATCTCTCCCCTGCACTGCTAGAGATACCACACCACCGTCTGGTGCTTTTGGCTCTAATCAGAGAGCTGAACTCGAGACTCAATCTGCACCGTTGGCAGAAATCAGCTGGCTCTGGCTCGAAAACAGTTTGCGCGTGTCGCAATGCAAACACCGCGTGCGTCCTGTTTTTGTCCTCCTTCCACGTAATGGTGAAACACCAGCACAACACCACTTGAAAGTCTGAACATTGCACAATATTTTCCTGCGCTGAGCTCTAATCGAGGTACTGGCTGACTCCGTTAGAGCGTCGCTCCACTCGCGCAGCTGTGTGAGGTGAGGCCGAGATGACTCAAGCAGCAGATGGACACAGCAGATAAAGCTGCAGAGGGAACATCAGAGGGAAGATGTGTTTTTGGAAACGTTGCTGTTAAATGTCAGCGATTAAGTGGAAGTTGGCTGATTCTAGAAAAAGAAAAAAGATGTGCACACTGAAGTGTGGTGGCAAATTCATAAAGGCACTGCGTGAATAGTTCAGCTCTGTTTGAATCAAGGTCGATGAAATATTCATGTGCAGGTGCAAGCGCCTTAGCTTTTCCCCTTCACGGTTTTCTATTGCTGCTCCATTCCACCATTCCAGCCGGCATTCCTCCTTTTTAAACTTTCCTCTAAAGCCTCGAATGTACCGCTTTCTGACACCAGCACGCCCTCTCTAGCAGCACTGAAGACACTCAGTGGTTATTTCTGGGTTTCCCGTGTGTCATGCGGCGGTAGCTTGAGATAGCTGTAGCATGGCTGACAACACACAGGCTCACAGGTGCAGAATGTCACAGAGTGGGCCGTCAGCCAGAAAGCTTGTGGGCCAGTTAGTAGTCAACTGGGCCCGGCAGCACGTGCCGCCCTCCTCCTGAAACTGTTCTCCCAGAGGAAAAGTCAAGCAACTTTGTCACATTTCCTCTGAACATTGTCAGCTTGCTTTTTACTTTACATGTTTAGCCACTACCTTCCTATTTGGGTAAAAGGGTCAGAGTCAAAGCAGCCTGCAGGGGCCACCAGGATTTGCCCTCTTCCCTCAGCTCGCAGATGCAGCGACCCATACAAGGCTGCGCTTCTCTGGGCAGCACAGAGACACTGCTGTGCTCTGGTTCCTGGATCCCCGATGCTCTGATTGAGACCCTGTGCCCCTGCAGGAACCAGAGGGAGGGGATGCCAGAGCACGAGAGGGGATGCAAACACATCTGGCATCTGCAAAAAACCCTGCACACAACTCAGAACATCATGAGATAAATGTACAAGGGAGATAAAAAAAAAAGCTGTTTTCTCTCTGGTGCTGCCGAATGTGTGCCTGCTAGCTGTACAGTCTAAAATAAAGTAATTATACAAGAAGGCACAGCCATTCTCCAGCTGCTAGGATAGCTCCACTCTGAGCTATTGTTCTATTTATATACCAAACAATGCCATGTTGGAGTCGATGGCAACAAATCATGCTGCTCTGGATGCATCTGAAGAGGAAATGACAGAAACACAAAGCTACTTTCGGTGATGTAAGCATAAACTATAAATACTAGCTGTTAAAGTTGTCAAGAGGAAGGTAAAACAATATGTAAAAGGAGAACACAGAAAGTATATCAGTGCAAGAAGTTTGAGTGGGTGCACGTCTCTGCAAGGTGTCTGCTTCGTTTTGCGTGGGCGATGCCTTTTGCATTAGGCGGCAATACGAGACGGCGTTAGAGATAGTGTGTGACACGTGTGTTTATTGTGTGTGTGTGCAGTGC